CCAGCCCTCGCCTCCCACTATCACAACGGGAAGCTCAGACGTTGTCGTCCTTGTCGTCGCCAGCCCTCGCCTCCCACTATCACAGCGGGAAGCTCAGACATTGTCTTTGCCGTCGACACTGCCTCCCCCTATCAGTGGGAAGCTGCCCAGCACACCGAAATAACTCCTGTCGGCGAAACCTCCAAACACTAATTCCTTAAACTCCCAAACCCAAAAGTCCTAAAGGCCCGGTAACGGCCAGGCCGGACATGGCTCTGAGCTGACCACGGACCTCCGCTGGGCGAGTTCATCTGATCTGTTCTTCCACATGGATAACTGGATGGGAGGTGATGTTGACCGACTTTACACCCAAACTATTTATTCATACTTTTGACTTAGAGCCCCAGGGTAGGTTTCAGGGTTGATGGTCCGGAGTTGGAATCTTACAGCTCACAGATAACTCGGGACTTTGTCCCCTAAACCCCGATAGCGAAGCCCTGCAAGGTTCGGCTTGCTCTCCAACATCTCTATCTGCGCTAACGCCTTGCTAGAAGTTGTGTCTTCAAGTGATTATATTGAATGTTTCTCAATTTCGCAAGCAAAAGGACTAAGAAACATCAGGAGGTCTGTTTCAGGAAAGGCACGAGGCTGTCTGCAGACACATGGAAGCCGGCGATCCCGGTGGCTGGCTCCACCTGGGTTGTGTATCCTTGCCACACTTTTACAGGGGTGACCAGCGGAAGAGCAAAAGGCATCCATCTGCACCCAACAGTACCAATCACCATTAGATTGCTCGTACTTGGAAAGGCCAGTGCCAGCTCTTCTTATGCACGGCGGTTGTGGCTGCCTGGACTGGACGGCCCGGCGCTTCTGAATAGAACCAAGTTTCCATGGCACGGCAGCGATATACGAAGCGGCGTGCAGCAGTGTCCCCGGGCTTCAGGGACAACCTTCAATTGTGCGTACCGATGCGCCATAATGTTCGAATAGATTGGAGCAATGTCTATTGTTGAATATGAGCTATAGTCTAAACTCCTATACTACTCCCCTATAGACCCCCTGTAAGGAGTTTAGACTATAGCTCATATGTTTAGGTTTCACCATGTTTCACGCTGGGCTGAGGCCGCAGCTCGGAAAAGTTGTGGAAAAGGTGCTCACCTTGGGCCAGCATGCAGAAAGAAGCCATTGTGCGCACTTCTTGGCGTGTCAGTGGTGGTCCTACAGGTGCAAAAGGGTTCTCAGCACCGGGCCTTGCATCTTTCGGAGAATTTCCTGACAGGCATGCAGGGAATCAGCAGGCCTACAAAAAAAACATAGCCAACCGGAAGCGTTCTTTTCAAACACACAGAGAAACAAATCTACAGAACAGCGAAAATCTGGGGCGAACCTGCTTACAGAAGCTCCCTCGAGTTTACACCAACATGACCCCTAAAGGGCAACTTCTTAAGGTGGATAAGAGACAGTACTTGCAACGTTTATGAAAACTGTTGAAATAAACCTCTCTAGACCCAAGACCAGCCCAAAATTGTTAGCCCAAACCTTCAACCATAAGCTCTGATGCCCAAGCCCAAAACTCTAAGCTGGGAGTCCTTGAGGCGGAAGAAATTGCCCAGCAAGTTTTCACCATCTGCGCTGTCTCCCCAACCGGTTTGATGAATCTTTTTTGCCTGGGCTTCATGGGTTGAATAGGATTTAGGGTCTGAGTTTAGGGTTTGGGGGTTGAAGAGGGGTCTAGAATTTCGGCACGAATTGACATGAGCTTTCTTTGCACGGCGCGGGATTGCGCTTTATTTCAACAGTCTCAAACTGGGGCTCAATGTTGGAGGCTGGAGGGTGCAGTCCAGGGCAAAATTAAATAACATCAAAAGCGTTTGGGGTAGCCTTCGAGACGCATACATACTCGCGGTAGGTCTCTGATTTTATCATTGCCAAGAGACATGCTGCTGTCGTGCTGCAACGGCTGGGAAGGAGCTGTAGCCGCCTGCCGAGCCTTCCTGCGTCATTGCCGTCTAAGCCAACCCCAAATTAGCCCAAAGTCATGGATCTTGAATCCAACAAACTCTGGACCTTGCAGCCTAAAACCTACTCTAAAACCTGAGCAATAGTCCCCACTCTTAACCCCCCACGAAGCCCCGCGAAACTCTCAAAGACTTGCTGGTGCTGGAATGAACATACGGATTATGACAGAGCATGTATGGGGATTATTGGGGGTTACTATTTCGGGATTTACAATAATCATTGGGATCCACTCCCCCACGCTCCCTTACCTGAACCCCGAAACTAAGTAAAACAATGGCCCAAAGATCCTGAAAATAGCCCAAAAGGCCATCATTCTACATACTTTTGGAGTTCAGGTAAGCACCAGCAAGAAGACCTCTCTCTCTCTCTCTCCCGCAGCGCCTGAGCTGGCTCCGCCTCCGGCTCCTCGGGGTCCGTGCCGCCGGAGTCTACGTTGCTGTTCACCTGGCATGGCTTCCTTACTGGGGGCAAGGGTTTAGGGTTCAGGGGTTAGTAGGGAGCAAGGGAACTTATAAGGACTATATTGGGATTTTATTCCCTTATTACCTACTAACCACCAGCAATCTTCAGATTTGTGTCATTGCTTTGGGGTTCAAGGATTGAGGCTTCACGGGGATGACAAAGGGTGTCAGATGTACGCTTCGGAGTTACAGGAATTCAAAGTTGAGGGCTTCTAGGGTCGAAAAGATTATCTGGGCATTTCGCATCAACAGGATCCCACCAGAGGAATCGCCAAGGCTTTAGGCAGCATTCTGCAGAGTTGGATGCGGCGTTTCCTCAAAATGGCGGGGATTGCAAAGATAGTTATCACGACGGGGAT